TGGTGGTACCTCGGCGACAGCTCGCGCAGGTGCTCTAGCTGCACCACGTGCGCGTCCTCGATCTCTCCCCCGGCCCCGGCCTCTGACGGCTATAGTAGGGGGCGCGGGTGCCTGATCATCTCGAGTGGCACGTGTCCTCACCATCTGTGAGAGAATAGAAGTCAGAAGTTTAGAATTGATGTCAAAATATCGCACGACAAGGAATTCAAATGAAGTCGAAGATTTTTCCTAAAAAGTTACATAGCCTCTCGTAGATAAGTACAGACGTCTCCGTACCGATCAGCGAGACTCTAATAAACCGGCCTGTGTTCCGTGACTCCTATGAACCTAATGCTCTGATACCAACTTGTCACGACCCCAGTTCACCCTCCATGAACATGTCGTGATGGCACCTAGTTCCTACAACTAGGTAAGCCTATCAATGCGGAAATAATAACTTAACTAGCGAAATGGTTAAATAAAGCTAAACATATTAAAATAATAACTGCATATAAGGCAGCTCGACCTATACAACTCAAAAGAAATGCGGAAGTCTACAACTCAATCCCAAAACCTGGAAACTCACGGGAACCACAGGCTAACAGAAACATAGTACGCTGCTCTAACTCCTGAATATCTAAACAACTGAGAGAAAAGGGATAAACTAAATACTAAAGCTGGAATAGAATAGAGACTCCTGGTCTGCGGACGCGGCAGATATACCTCGAAGTCTCTGTGTATCTCCTCGCCTCAAGGATAGTGCGCCTGAGAAGAGGTACCTGGATCTGTACATGAAAAACATGCGCAGGAAGGGCATGAGTACACCACAGCGGTACTCAGTAAGTGCCAAGCCTAACCTCGGTTGGGTAGTGACGAGGAAGGTCAGGGCCCTACTGAGGTAAAATATAGTAATAATCAATAGTATGAAAATCTGACAGAAATAATGAAAACAACAATGAGATAAGACAGGTCAACGAGGCAACAACAACTACAGAAAGAACAAAATAAACACAGAATGACTACAGCTTAATACCAAGGATAACAATGAGGGTCTCCCAGGATACCGTCCTGTAGCCCTTTCCTCAACTGTCTAGTGGATCTCCCGGGATACCGTCCCGTAGTCCAACTCATGTGCCAAACCAAAGGATTTCCCGGGATACCATCCCGTAGTCCAACCATCAATATGCAGGGGGATCTATCGGGAATCTAACCCGCAGTCCTAAAGTAAAAGTGCAGGGGGATCTACCAGGAATCGAACCCGTAGTCCCAAAGTAAACAAACAAGGGGGGGGGGGGGGAGCTACCGGAATTCCACATTCGTAGTCCCAATATAAATGCACAATCACAACCGGAAGGTACACGGAAACAAAGTACAAAAGACAAGCAAATAGGTAGTACTGGCCTAGCATGCTTCACGCAGTACAGTCAAGGCAACTTAAGCAATTAGGCAAGCTAAATCAACTAAACATGCTTTCCTAATCTAGCACAGGTTATAATTGCAACTGGAATAAAGTAAATATGAAAGGAACTCAATCTCACTATCTTAAGTAAAATCAGGGTTTTCAACAATTGGGTCAAGTACGCGTTCGTCACCTCGCGTACAAGGCACTCAAAACAACAAATAACAAATCCTAAGGGGAAAGGTCCCCCACACAAGGTTAGACAAGCCACTTACCTCGAACCGACTCAATATCAGCTAGAAACCATGCCCTTGCCACGAGTATCCGACTCCAAATGGCCCAAATCTATTCAATTCAATTATACATGTAAATAACATCGCAAACAACTGGTTTTGCTATTTAATTCAAAGCTACGGCGTGAAATTAGGTGAAATGACCAAAATGCCCTTCAGTCCAACGTCTCAGAATCGAATAATTTTCACATTTTCAGAACCCTCGTACTCTCACGAGTCTAACCATATAAAAATCTCCCAAATAGGAGGTCAAATGCTCACTCAAAACTCAATGGTTTAGCCTATAAAGTTTTACCCAATTTCTTCCAATTTTGATCCTAAATTCGAATTTTAATGATGGATTTAACTACAAAATGATGAAATATAACTAGAAGGGATTAAAGGAATGTTACCCAATAGTTTTCTCTTCAAAACCCTCTGAAAATCGCCCTTACCCGAGCTCAATTTGGGTTTTCTAACTTATGAAATCAAACCCTCGAATTTTCTATATCAGAACAGGCATTTCCGCTTCTGCGGACAAGGGATCGCTTCTGCAGTCCCGCTTATGCGAAAACAAGCCGCTTCTGCGGTCTAAAATTAAATCGCCAGGACCGCATCTGCGAGAAATGAGCCGCAGGTGCGGAAGAGCATCTGCGAGGGACAATCCGCTTCTGTGGAAACTAACGAAACGCTGGAGCCGCATCTGCGATGCCTGAGCCGCTTCTGCAGCTCCGCTTATGCGGGAATAGCACCGCTTCTGCGGTTTCAGAGGGAAAGGAGCAAAGCCGCTTCTGCGGCCATTTAGCCGCCTCTGCGGCACCGCATTTGTGGTTCCCAAGCCGCAGATGCGAAAATACCAGAAGCAGCAATGGTTCAGTTGCTGCAACGCTTCAAAACTTCTTCCGTTAACTACCTGAAATCATCCCGAGGCCCCCGGGACCTCAACCAAAAGTACCAATAACACCTAATACCTCATTCAAACTTATACTAATCCTTAAACCACCTAAAACAACGTCGGAAACTCGATTAATTCAAGGATTTGAGCCTAAGAACTTCAAATTCCATCAAAATACATTTTCGATCAAAAACCCAACCAAAAACGTCCGAATGACCTGAAATTTTGCACACACATCCCAAATGACACGACGGAGCTACTGCAACTTCCGGAATTCCATTCCGGCCCTCGGATCAAAAATTCACTATCGGACCGGAAACTTCAAAAATTCAACCTTCGGCATTTCAAGCCTAAAAGAGCTACGGACTTCCAAAATACATTCCGAACATGCTCCCAACTCCGAAATCACCTAACGGAGCTAACGGGACCATCAGATTTCCATTCCGAGGTTGTCTTCACACTGTTCCGACTACGGACCACTTTTCCACACTTAAGCTCTCATTTAGGGACTAAGTGTCCCAAAACTCTCCGAAACTCAACACCGAACGTCCCGGCAAACCAAAATAGCAGAAATGAACTTAGGGGAAGCAGTTAATAGGGATCAGAGCGTAAATTCTTAAGACGAACGGCCGGGTCGTCACAATAAAAAGGGAACAAATCAAGTGCAGCCACTTCAAGGATTGATTTGGAATCTGGAGTTACTGAAGATTGATCGATCAAGTCAAGCCACAAATCACTCCCTTGATTATGGATATGAAAAGGAAGGACATAAATGAATCCATCCCATCTCTTGTGTAGGATTCGAAGGCACCCCTTGGGTCAAACCCCTAGAATATTCTGTGCATCAATTAAGGGTCAATCTGCAACGGCTACTCAAAACTCCCCTATAAGAAGATTGGCAAACTCAAGGATTCTACACGCAACTACATCATATGTTTCTAAGCCTTTCTAGTTCTTAGTACAAACACTGTAGTCTTGAGTTTACAAGTGTTACAAAAGATAGGAAGAGTTAGAACACAAAGCGAGAGTTGTGTCAACATTAAGAAGAATTACCGTTGTTATATATCGTTGGTGGTGAACGTACTAAACCATCATTGCTGTAATCATTCATCAAAGATCTAAGAGAACACTTGTGACCCAAGGGAACTGGATGTAGGTACCACACCGGTACTGAACCAGTATAAAAACTGTCGAGCTTCTTTATCTTTTTGCTCTTTTGGTTTATCTCTACTGAAATAAATCACTGTCAAAGTCTAGTCGACTAAACTTATACTTAGTCAACTAAGATTTTTAAATCGGCTAGAATTCACCCCCCCCTTGTACTTTCACAAACATGTATAACAATTGAAAACCAAAATAAATAAAGTTCTTTCTCTCCAAGAATCACACGCAAAGATCTCCTTCTATATTTTTAAGTATGATCAACCCCATTAGATGAAAGACGGAAAGGAAATTTCACGAATGAGGCAGTAAACGAGGTGATGAAATATAAAAATATACATATACAAGATTTTAAAAATCTAAGCAAAAAAGGATTTTGTTTTTCAATGGGTATGGTTGAAATTCATTGAAAACATGTAGATGATTCAATATATAAAATTTTAGGAAGATTGGAGGTGATTTGGATTGATTTGGTGTCAAAATTCGTAGTTAAAAAAACTATTCTGCAACACATGTATCAAACATATATCAAGCATGGATCTCACACATAGTTATACATGGATATACATGAGATACACAATTAATACAAATATGATACATATGTGATACACAAATGATACACAGTGTGATATACATATTTTTGTTCATGTTCATCTTCTACTTCAAATTTTCAATTCAAACCACCTCAAAGCTCCACCAAATCATCTCAAAATTGATATTTAAGCTCCTTAAGATGTACCCAATCTATTCTAATAACACCCACTTAAAAGAAAGTAAAACTTTAACCTTTTTTTAGCTACAAATAGCTATTGTCTAATATTGGTAATATTTGACTAATATTTTATGAGTTGGCCAATTTTTATAATAAGCTACTTATAAATGGACATAATTGGTAGTTTCTTATATATATATTATACACTAATTATGTACAATATCCACATCTGTTGACTATTTTTTAAGCGGATGGCTATTTAAGTTAATTTCCGATGGACGACCATCTTCTATAGTTTGGGCTTACTTCATGGACAACGTTTGTCTCATTATTTACCAAAAGCAATTTTTATTTCCGGAATAAAAGGAAAGATTGTACGTTGCCGTTTGGACAACATTAGAGTTGAAATGAAGAGAAAATCATTGGAGAAATTGAGAAGTTATATTTTCAACTTGAAAGGACTCAAGTTCAAATAAAGTATCTGTTTTAAATTAGACAGTCGTTGATTTGCAAGTTGAAATACCAAAATTGCGAATGAAACCTTTTTTTGATAAGCAGGGATCAATTATATTATACCAATAATCAGAAGGTAGTAGCTACATTATCAAAGTTGCCCAGCGGGGCGTTACCTACTTGGCTATTACATAGTATTAAAAAGTCACGAAGGACATTTTTATTTCCAAGGGATGCAAGCTTAGTGCATGCATCCTTCCTAATATTCTTAACTAGATAGGTAGTAGCTTCATAGTCAATTGCTAAGATGGCGGTTACAAAATATGGAGGATAGTTCAAAGTTCCGAGATCCCTGCCATTGTTCACACGAAGAGCATCCTTAGCCAGCTTGTGTGCTGGTTTGTTGGCCTCTCTGAAGTTGTGCTCCACTGTTTGAGCTTTCACCTGGTGCATCAATAACCTACAATCATGAATAATATTGTTAAGCAGCGTATAACCATGTTGTAGACATAGAATAACATCTGTGGAGTCTGTCTCCACATCAATGTTAGTAAAACCCTGTTCCCTTGCTAGTTGAAGGTCTTTCTTTAATGCCATAAGTTCTCCATGCAGGGGAGATAGACCATATGAAGAACCCTGGAACCCCAGCACCCATATGCCATTGCTATCTCTAAATAAACCACTAAAGCCACATGTGGATGTTTCATTATTGAAGGAGCCATCTATTTTAAGATTAATATGGTTAGCCATAGGTTTGATCCATTTTATAGAAATAGGGATGTTTACTTGATGCGTAGATTACTTTTCAGTAAGGAATTTGTATTCAACCGCTAACTTGTAAGAGTAAGATATGTTGGCTTTGTTCGTAGTGTTATTATAGAGGTTGTTATTCCTGTTAGTCCAAATGTACCATATCGCAAAGGGGAACATATCATGCCAATCTATGTGGCCCTTTCCTAGAGAACAGTTAAGGTCATGAATATTGATCAGCCAATGGTTTGCCGAGTTATAACCACTCATGTTGATGCCTAATTGAAGTCAGAAGTCCTTGACTGCTGAGCACTGCATAAAGATGTGGGTAATACTTTCCTTATCATGTTTGCAAAAGGAGCAGTTAGGATCAATGTTGATTCCAATGTGGTTTAAGTAGGTTCTAGTTGGTAGTTTGTTATGGAGGAATTTCCATAGTAGGAATTTTATTTTGTTCGGACATTTTAGGTCCCAAACCCAATTAAAATCTTGAGTTATGTTAGGGTGGGTGACTAGGAGATTATAGCAAGACTTACTAGAAAAAAGTCCATTTGTGGTTAGTGACCATATCGGAATGTCACAATTGTAATTGTTAGGAATGGTGGCTTTTAATCTTGTTTAATAAGGGATCATGGATTTATATAGAAATTTTAGATAAGTCCCACTGGTTGTTAAATAGACACATGAGTACTAAATAGCAATTGTCAAGAAACTATTTGTGATTAATTTAAAGGCAAAGTATGAAATTGGACGGTCGACTTAATTAATTGCATTAGCTAGCTAAAAAGCATATAAAATCTGCATATTATTTGTATATAATACACACACATATATATAAAATATAACGACCCGGCCGGTCGTTTGAGAGTATTAGCCTCGAACCCTTATTTACTGCTTCCTCTATCTCATTATATGATTTTGTGGCTCGCCGGAGGTTTGGTTTTTGGTTTCAAAGAGAAGTGGGACACATAGACCCTAAAATGGAGATTTAAGTCGTAGGAATTGACCGTAGTTTGATTTGTATGAAGACAACTCCGAAATGGAGTTTCGACGGTCCCATTAGCTCCGTAGGGTGATTTTGTTCTTAGGAGCATGTCCGGATATTGATTTGGAGGTCCATAGGTTATTTCGGCGTTAATTGGCGAAAGTTTGAAAGATGGATGAATTTTGAGAAGTTTGACCGGGAATGGACTTTTGATATCGGGGTCGGATTTCGATTCCATAAGTTGGGGTATGTCCGTGATGTCAACTTGTGTGCAAAATTTGAAGTCAATCAGACTTGATTTGATAGGTTTCGGCATCGGTTGTAGAAGTTTGAAGTTCTAAAGTTCATTAAGCTTGAATTGGGGTCCGATTCATTTTTTAGCGTTGTTTGAGGTGATTTGAAGACTCGACTAAGTTCGTATGATATTTTAGGACTTGTGGGTATTTTTATTTGAGGTCCCGAGGGCCTCGGGTGTGATTCAGAGCATTATCGGATCATTTTTGGACTTAGAGGATGGCTGATGCTGGGTTGTTTTTGGTGTCATCGCACCTGCGGTGGGATTGGCCGTAGGTGCGGACTCGCATAAGCGAGATTTCAGCCGCAGATACGAAGGTGGCCTTGCCCAGTAGTGGTCACAGAAGCGGGGAATTATCCGCAGAAGCGCCTTCGCTTCTGCGTTGGTAGGGGCGCAAAAGCACATTTGGCCGCAGGTGCGATCTTTGTTCCGCAGAAGCGGTCTCGCAAATGCGGACCCCTTGTCCGCAAAAGCAGAAGCCCAGGACTTATGTGTTTTCCGCACCTATGATGGTTTTTCTGCAGGTGCAGCATAGCAGAAGCGGTTCCTTGTCCGCAGATGCAGATTCACTGGGCAGAAAAGGGCTAAGTTCGAGGGTTTGATTTCATTCTCCATATTTGAACCTATCGAGCTCGGATTGAGGCAAAATTTTGAGAGTTAGAGGAAACATTTGGGTAAGGATTCTTGACTCGTTTTTGGTTAATTACCACTAATCTATCATTAATTTCTTCATTTAATTAAGGATTTGGGTGTAAAAAATTGGGTAAAAGTTAGAAAAATCCTTAGGTCGAATTTTGAGTTTTTGATCGAGATTTTTATATCGGATTTTGTAATTTTGGTATGGGTGAACTCGATATCGAATGGGTGTTCGTATTTTGTGACTTTTACCCATCCCGAGACGTGGGCCCGGGTCGACTTCTTGGAGCGATTTCTTAATTTCTTGTTAAAGTTGTGATTTCATTATTTAGAATAGTTTCTTATAGTGATATTTATAGTATGTAATTGCTTTTGGCTAGATTTTGGCCGTTCAGAGTGGAAAAGTCGATGGAAAGGCGTTCTTATTGATTGATTGAGCGGGGTTTGAGGTAAGTGACTTGTCTAACCTTGTGTGGACGAAATTTTCTTAGGTTGTGGTACTGTTATGGTGTTTGAAATACGTGAAGGCCGTGTACGCGAGGTGACGAGTGCGTACTCGGGTTATATGTTGAAAAATCTGGTTCTTGCTGAGTAGTTTTTTTAATTCCTTAACTGAGTTGCCCTAGCAGGTGCAGTCACCATGTTTAGCCTAATGTCACATGCCTACGTGTTTTAACTCTTACTTGCAGTTTGTGCAACATGCTTAATTGATTTTTGTATTCAGTCTTTAACTGTAGGATTCCTTGCTGTAAATTCGTTGTTCCACAAGTTATGAGTTGTGTATTTACTTTTGGGACTACGAGGCGGTACCTCGGGAGCTCCCTGTTGCGTATTTACTTTTGAGACTACGAGGCGATACCTCGGAAGCTCCCCTGTTGCATATTTACTTTTGGGACTACGAGGCGGCACCTCAGGAGATCCCCTGCTGTGTATTTGGGAATAAGAGGCGGTACCTCGGGAATGCCCCTGTTGTTTACCCCTATTTGATGTGTTGTTACCTTTCTGTAATTTCTCATTATTAAATTCTCAGTCTTTTCATTATATTATTATATCTTTCGCTTTGTTTCCTTTTTATTCCAGTAGGTCCCCGACCTGACCTCGTCATTACTCTACCGAGGTTAGGCTTGGCACTTACTTGGTACCGTTGTGTGTACTCATACTACTCTTCTGCACATCTTTTTGTGTAGACCCAGGTACCTCCTAGATATCAGTGATTAGTGAATAAGTGGAGACTTCAAGGTATATCTGCCAGCATCCGCAGACCTCGGAGTCCCCCTCTACCTTTATGATGTTGTTTTTCCTTATCTTCATTAGACTATGATGTATAGAGACATTTAACATTTCTCTTAGAGCTTGTGACTTATTTCTACTGGGTTTTGGGAGTTGTAATCATTTTTGAATTGCAATTTTATTTATTTTGGGTTTTGAGATTTGAGTTTCAACTTAATATTTAACCATTATGTATAATTGTTAGGCTTACCTAGTCTTAGACACTAGGTGCCGTCACGATATCCTACAGAGGGGAAAAAGGGGTCGTGACAAGTTGGTATCAGAGCTCTAGGTTCAAAGGTGTTATGGCTCACAAGCAAGTTTAATAGAGTCTCGCGGATCGGTACAGAGATGTTTGTACTTATCTTCTGGAGGCTATGGAACTGTTAGGAAAAGCTTCAATTCTTTGGTTCCTTATCATGCGAGATTTAGACTTCGGACTCTAAATTTATGCCTTTCTATTCTCTCACAGATGGTGAGGACACGTACACCTAGATTGGATGACCAGACACCTGCGCTCCTTGCTAGAGCCACGAGAGGCCGAGGACGTCCACATGGTGCAGCCAGAGCACCCCCACGAGCTGCTGTAGTGGAGCCACTAGTAGCTCCAATTGGGGCGCAGGCACCTAAGACGCCTGTTACTGCACCAGCTCTTCAGGAGACCCTCGCTCAGTTTTTGAGTATTTTCAGCACTTTAGCTCAAGCATGGTTGATCTCACTTGTTCCTGCCACATCTCAAGTCGGGGGAGGAGCACAGACTCCCGCCGCCTGTACCCCATAGTAGCGGGGCCAGGTCGACCAGGTTCCAGAGGTCATACCAATGCAGCTAGTAGCCCCAATTTGGCCCGAGGCTAGGGCGGCCGTTTCTGAGGAGGAGCTCAGGCTCGAGAGGTACAAGAAGTACCGCCTTCCTACTTTCAGTGGCTTGGCGTCAAAGGATGCCCAAGGTTTTCTTGAGGAGTGCCACCGTATCCTCCGTACTATGGGTGTTGTAGAGTCTAGTGGGGTTTCTTTCACTACGTTCCAGCTTAGAGGAGCGGTCTATCAGTGGTGGCGAGCATATGAGTTGGATAGCTGGCCGAGGTAGCTTCACTCACTTATACTCAGTTCTCGGATATGTTCTTGAGCGAGTATGTTCATCAGAGTCTTAGAGATACATGGCGTGCAGAGTTTGAGCAGTTGTGCCAGGGTTCTATGACCGCGTCAGAGTTTGCGGTCCAGTTTAGTGATTTGTCTAGACATGTACCAGCCTTGGTTGCTATTGTTCGAGAGCTGGTTCGTCGATTTATCGTGGGGCTCAACCCCAGTATCAGATTTAGCATGGCCCGAGAGTTGGAGATGGACATTGCATACCAGCAGGTAGTGGGGATTGCTAGGAGATAGGAGGGTATGTTAATTCGAGAGAGAGAGGAGAGAGAGGCCAAGAGGTCTCGAGAGTCTGGCATATAAAGTGGTACTCGTGCCCCAGCCGCAGCTTATCAGGGTAGGGGCTATGTGAGTCACCCTGTTCATTCAGCACTTCCAGCCGCCAGCGATATTCCGGCCACTCCCAGGCCCCAGGCTCCCTATTATGCACTGCCAGTGTCTAGTGTACCCCCTGTACGGGGTGCTTTCAGCGGTCAGTCCAGCCGATCAGGCCCGGGCCAGCCACAACAACCATGTCCTCCGAAGGCTTATTTTAAGTGTGGTGACAGTCGTCATGTGGTGAGGGATTTCCCCAGACTTGGGAGCGGTGCTCCTCTGTAGGTTACTCAGGCTCCGCATATTTCACTGGGTCCTCAAGCTTCTCAGTCCATGGTTGCCGCACCAGTTTCC